TGTTCTAAACTTGGATTGTGGTAGTATTTGCACAACTCTATGAATAAACTAAAAAAAAATTTAATTGTATGCTTTAAATGGATGCATTTCATGGTAGATGAATTATATCGCAATAAAGTTTTTTTGAAAGGCAATGTAACAAGTCACCAGACCCCTGCAACTTTTAGAGTGTGGGACTCTAGTTCTTGAGTGAAGAATGAGCCACTTTGGGCTTCCAAGGATAATATTTCTTGAAACTAAGCTTCCAATTAGAACTGCACTGGGTTCTAATTACTGACAACAATTTCATGTACAGATTTTGCGTGTTATCATATAGAACAAAATTTTAGGTAGGTAGTTCCCGCGTTACATCTATTTCATTAAACATCTGTGGGAACTGTTTGTGTCTTAGTCCAGCAGGTTGCCCTTTGATCTGGAATATCTTTCCTGGTCAGTTGCTCCCACCATCAATTAGTATGTGTACTCAGGGGAATGTGAACTGATTTCAGCATTATCTTAAATAATACATAATTAGGAAGTTGGAGTCAGGCCTCTCCTGGTGGCGCAGGTGGTTGGCCACAGCGCTGTGGAGCTGTCCTCAGGCTCTGCAGCGCCGGTTCCATCCTGGCCAGCTGGCGAGTGTCCCACACAGCGCAGCAGACCCCTCCTGTCGCGCCCGCTACTCCCCTCACCAATATATTTCGTTAGTCTGCCTGTTCTGTTCCCTGCTCTGTCTTTGGTGAATCCTTTCACCCTCCCGTGCATCTGGCCTGTACCCTGGTTCCTGTACAAATAAATAAATAAATATTTTTTAAAAATGGATTTGGAGTCAATCGTGCTGAATATATGCATGTAGCTTACCTTTAAATGTTTAATAATTTTATGTGTACTCATGTAGATTAAAGCTTTACCTTTTGAATTTATATTTTTAGGGTCCTTCAAATTTCATGGGCAAAAAAAATAAGAAGCGAAAGTCTTAAACATTTGTCTCACTAGAGTGTGTGTGTCTACCCACTACTCCCAGCGCTTTACATTGCAGAATGTTCAAACACCTAGATATTCAAAGATTTTCCAAATTACTGAGTCAGGATCTACATTTTAACAAAATCCCCAGGCCATTTGTGTGCATATTAAACTTGAGAAGCAGGCTGTCATGCATAACTGAAGCTCAGTATAACATCCTCAGGGAAATTGGGCAGTGGCTCCCTCCTTTATGACATGTTTATAACATTTGTAACAACTTCAAAATGTCCACTATTTGATTCTACATAGTAAAAACTATAAACTTTCTGTTTCTGTAAATGTGTATGAAAGAAGGGAAAGAAGAGAGGTGACTACTTTTACTTAAACACTGACTGGGGGATGGAGTGGCTAGGTGCTTGTCCTAAGGGAAGCTTCTCTATTCTTTTACTTGTCCTCAGTTCTTCTTGTTGACCCCAGTACCACCACCACACAAAAGCCCCTCCTTGGGCTTTGAGCAGCAGGTGGCATTGAGAGTCACCAGTTTCACATGGTTTTCTGGATGAAAGATGGAAACCTCACTCTTCCAGGTCCACCTAGCCATATGGAAAGGAACAATTCAGACCTGGAAGGCCCGCTCTCTATTTTCTCTGCCCTAAGGTAGGTAAAATTCAAGTACAGGTTACATCTAGGAGATATTGCAGGTTTGTTTCCATGTTGCCTCAATAAAGCTAGTATCACAATAAAGCCAGTCACAAGAATTGTTGGTTTCCCAGTGCAAATAAAAGTTGTTTACATTATATTATAGTCTATTAACTGTGTAATAACATTGTATCTAAAAAATCAATACCTTAACTAAATGTAACAGAGAAACAAAGTGAGCACATGATGTTGGAAAACAGTGTCAATAGTCTCACTCTACACAGGGTTGCCACAAACCTTAAATTTGTTTAAAAAAAAAAAAGAAAAAAAGAAAAATCCGCAATGTCTGTGAAGCACAATAAAGAGAAATGCAATAAAACAAGGTATGTCTTTACAGCCTTTCTATTCCTTAAAGAGCACCAACTCTTGCAGGCCTAAAATGGCTACAGGGGTAGGTAGAAACCCATCCACTATGCCCTCACCTCCATATTTCCATCTAACCAGGAGGTTTTACCACATGGGGTTAGGGGAAGAGGAATGACTCTAGAGAGTCTCCTGAAAAGTGGTATTTAAAATGCATATTCTTGGGTTCTATCATTAAAATTATTTTTTAAAGATTTATTCATGCATACAAGAACTGGGGTACAAGCCAGAAGTATGGGGGGGTGATAGGATTCACCAGAGACAGAGTGGGGAACAGAACAGGCAGATATAGTGAAATACACTGCTGAGGGGAGCAGCGGGCAAGCCAGGAGAGGTCTGCTGTGCCATGTGGGGTATCTCCCTGGCTGGGGATCGATCTCTTGATCTCTTGCTGCAGTGGCTGTGGACAGCTTCATTGGCTGCGTCTTAACTCCTTGCGCCACCAGGGAGGCCACTATCATTAAAATTCTGATTCATGCAGTTTGGGTTTAGGAACAAAACTTGCATTTTAACATGTGCTTTAAGCAATTCTGTTATAGAAAGTCTAGATCTGCACTTTAGGAAATAGTGATAAAATTTATTTGAAACCAGTAAAACTTTGCAAGTAAATCACTATTCTCAAGGATTTTACTTTTTTGGATTAATGTGGTTAAGTTTCTGTTCAGCTTCCATTTAGCATTTACTGAGCAATTATCATTGGCAAAGAACTGTACTATATGCTGCTTTTTTGGTGTGTTTGGGTTCAGTGGGAGGAATGGAGAGAAGGATGTGTTATATTAGAGAGCTATTTCTCAACTTCCTAGAAAAGTGACAAATTCAAGATTTTGTGAAATAAATTAACCTAAACAACATTACTCAACCACAGTTACCATACTTACTAGCTTTTTCAATGGCACCAGTGTATCAGAGATGTCATAGTCTTGCCATAATCAAAACACCATGATTTTAATCCTACCTTGTTCACTTGATATGACCACAGACAAATAATTTAACTTTTCTGAGTCATGTTTCCTCATCTGTAAAATGAGGCTATAACATCTACTTCATTGAGTAGGGGTGAGGATTTAAGGGAACCCTTAAATATCTAACTGATGCAGAAGCTTTGGGAACCTATTAAACTGAAAAAATTCATCATATTTTTCTATTAATACTTTATGTAATAGGGTGCTCTCCAGGAAGAGGGGATGTTCCAGGTTCCCTGCCCCACTCAAAAGAGGTTGGAGCTGAGCAGGGAGGGAAAGAAGCTAGAGAAGAGACTGGAGCAGAAAAGGAGGGAGAGCCTGAAGGAGACCTGAAGGAGGCACATGGAGCAGAGAGACATGTGAAGAAGCTGCACTTCCTGGACTGGTGGAAACAGATGTGGATGAGAGACCATAGGAAGGTTAACAATGGCAGCTTTTATCTTGATTTTGATTTTGCTCTTTTCCTTGCAGACTTGTCTGGCTGTTTCCGATCAGAAACAGTTGATGTGTCCATCCTGGAATGTGCTTTAGACTTGCGGCAGGTTTTTGGGCCTCAGTGGCCGTGCTTTTGGCCAACCCTATTTGGCTGAGCATTTCCCCAGGAGAAGACAAGTTAATTTCCAGTGCTTGATTTGTAATCTTTATTCTCTGTCTTTTCTGTATTATTCACTAATTATAAAGTTACTTTCCATAAAAGGTCTTATGCACTAGACTATGTTTTGTCTTAATGCGGTGGATGGCAGAAACTTTTTAGGGCAGGCAAGTTTGGGGGTTATGGGCTGCCCCTCACCCTGCCCTGTGACAATACTACAAACCATCATGGAAACACTAGGAAGTGCTTCCACAGGCTTGGAAATTCAGGTTTGAAACATGAATATTAAACTTTGTTAATCAGTTTAAATAAATTGGGACAAGCAAAATTAAGTGAGCTTATTAAAGAATGAAGAGTGTGGAGGCAAAGCGGAAAAGTAGTGCGCACATGCGCGTACACACACACACACACACACACACACACACACGGTAACAGCTTTCTCTTAGCACCTGTTATGTTCCTCACATCCCTTCCTGTCAAAGGAATGGACTGAAAAATGAGATTATGTGTTGTTATTATTATTTTTAATCTTTCCATCCCTGGAACAAATCTCCCATGTCACATAGATTGTTACTGAAACATTATCCTAGATTTAATGAGGTATTTTGCATATATTTTAATAAGAATGCCTAGTCTCTACATTTCATTTTTTGTAAGTTTTTGATTCTGATGTTAATACCTCTAAACTTATTTGAACAAACACAAGTTTGAATTAGTTTGTACAGGTACGAGCAGAGAATCAGCATCATTAAAAACAAAGATATGGCGATGCTACTTATGTGCAGAGGACAGCAAATGCTTAATCACATCCCTCATTTCTGAAGAATGCACTATGCAGCTGCAAATGCCAGGTACCGAGTTGCTGAAATCTTCAGCATCGTCTTCCTTGATCATTAGTGTGGGCTGAAAGGCTGATTCACCCTGAGGCAGCAGATTCCCCATAGCCTGAAGAGTGGAGTCAGTTTCAAGTTTAAGTCCTTGAAAATGCTTTTGCTCTCTTGCTTGCTAGAACAAGATTCCAGGCCTCAGAAAGTTTTACACTATGTTCCCACGTTTAATTCATGCACTTCAGACCAATGACGGTATAACCAGAGTGACCTAACATTTTTTGTTTCTATTTTAAGGTTCCCTCACCCTTGGCTTCCTGGGCAGTTTACCTGTCTGATGCCTCCAAGCCCCCTCCAAACCCCGGGCTCCGGGAGGACACTTCTCTAGGCGGTGACAAGTAGGTCCCCCATGATTGCACGACCAGAGGCTGGGAAAGCCCGTCCGGGGAGCCTCACCCGGGGCAGTGGGGCTGCAGCGAGCGCGGGGGGCGGCTCGGGAGGCCCCGCCGCAGGGCGGCTCTCCCCGCGGGGTGGGCCGGGCGCCCGGGGCGTGCGCAGCCACGTGACGGCCGCTATAAGAGCCGCGGGGGCGGCCGGGCTCCCGCCGCGCCTCCTCGCTGGCGGAGCTCCCGTGCGGCCTCTCTGAGCCCCGGCCTGCGGCTGCGGAGGCCCCGGCAGCACCATGACAGGTACCCGCCGCTCCGCGCCGCGCGCCCCCCGCCCCGCGCGCCCGCCCCGCCGCCGGAACCCGGGCCGCGGCTCCCGCCCCGCGCAGCCCCCCGCCCCGCCCCGGGGGGGCGCCCGGCCGGGCCGGCCCCGCCGCCAAGTTGCAGGCCGGCGGCCGCGAGCGCGTCTCTTCCTGCGTCAGCCGCGGTCTCGCCGCCCCCAGGAGCCGGGGCGCAGCCCGCAGCCCGGCGGGGGAGCGGAGGGGGCGGCCGGCAGAGCCGGGCCCTCCGCCGCAGTCCCGTCCCGCCCCCGTCCTCTCGCCCGTCCCCCGCGCTCGCCCTGAGGGGGGACGAGCAGCGGGCCGGGTGGGGGTGGGGGCGGGGAGCCGGCTCCTCCGCGGGCGCGGGACCCGAGCCGGCGAGCCCGGCGAGACTGCGGGGAGCCGCCCCTCCTCCCGCGGGCTGCAGCCCCTGGAAGGCGCGGCCCCGAGAGCGGGACGCCGCGGCCCCTGCCCGGCTCCTCGGCCGCGGGCCCGGGCTCTGGCACCGAGTCGAGCCTATTTTTAGTCCTTTCGAGCCGGGGTGCTGGAAGCCGGAGCCGGGCGAGCGCCGCGGGGAGCGAGCCGGGGGCCAGGGGAGAGCTCGGGCCGCGGCGCCACTTGTTGCAAGGTGTAGGGGCCGCGGGGCGAGCTGCTCCGCGGACGGGAAGCTCCAGGTAACTGGTCCTCCCCTTGTTGAGGCCAGTAGCGGGCTGTGGCTGCGGCTGAGCTGCCGGACTCTGCAGCTGTGACCGGAGGTCAGTCATCTCCGGGGAGGTTGTTCTCCTACCCAGCTGCCCTTCGGCTCTCTTGCTCATTTGTGGGGTTTGCTAGGTCTGGGTGGTCTACGCAGTGTTCCTGAGCATTTTGTCCGATTCCCTGCTTTGTCTTGGAAATCATTCCTGTTGCTTCCTGAAGTCCTTGAATATTACCTTACTAAATGTTCCTCAGAGAATCCCTGGAATCTGAAAAGCTTTAGAGTTAACACCCCCGATTAAATACCCTTGGGCTACACTGACTAATAGGTTGCCGTTTTGCAGGGGTGGAAGGAACAAGTACAAATACACGCAGAGGTTGCTGGGCATGTCAAGTGGCAGATCAGGGTTGTGCACTTTCCTAGAGTGTGACTGAAAGGGTTTTCCACAACTAAATAATGGACCGGCGTGGGAGAGAGTCCAACTGCTACTGTGTGAGGATGCCCCTCAAGTTAGAGGCTGGGGGCGTGCCAGCCCACTTGACATACTGCAAAGTCCTTTCACTTGTCAATGGCATTTCTACTGCCTCCAGCCTCCACATTGGACACTAGGCAAAGGAGAATGAGGAAACCTAAGACAGAAAGAAAGTGACTTCTTGACAAAATGTCCCAACACTCTGGTTGGGCAACAATTCCCCAAGTGACCCCGGCCAGCGCTTGATCTTAAGTATCCTGTATGTTTGGCTGCCCATCAACCGGATGGTGCATGCCCCGGACTCAGTCCAGGGATGGACTGGAGAAATCCTAAAGGTTGGGTTGGTGCTCTTGGGAGAGTGGGCCTCCTTCTACAAGGAAGAAAAACCAAGTTAAGTTGTTTGCCTTCTGTTCTCACAATTATTGGAGATTGGTTATTTTTATGTGTGAGGGATAAAGGTTGTTGGGGGACCCTAGGGTAGAGGGTAGAGAGTATGCTTGCTTCTCTAAAGAAAAGGAGACAGGTTTGTTAGAGTTTGTGAAGTGGTCCCTGAATCCATTTAACAAAGCTGTTGGCCACTATGATAGAAAAATCAAGGACAGAAGCTTCTCAGAGTTGATCTTTTGAGAGGTGACTATGTGAGGCTGCTCTAGAATAAGGAAACAGTATTACAAGTATGAGCCTTGGCAGAAATGTGAACACCAAAATGAAGTTTATGGCCACTTCTTTCAGATGGTCTCACTGGAGACTCTTGGATTTGAACTTGACTGAAAACGCTGTCTGTGGTATCTTGTAGAAGAAACAGAAACTGTGCTTGATCTTTCCATTATCACGTGTTCTTTTCACTATCACTTGTTAATTGCCTAAGGCTCACCCTCTGGGTGTTAAGTTACCATTTATTCTGAGAATTTAGCATGTCTAACTCTAAATTGGATTTACCTCAGTCAGTCTTTAGAAGATTGCCAAAGATATTCCTGCTAAAGTATGTCTTAAATCATTCTTAAAGTGGGTACTTGTGTTCCCCACTCAACCATCAAGAGGTTGTTCCTTTTTGAGTACAGTAAGTTGATCACAGAGGAGACAGTTTTGCCAAGTTATTGCTTAGGAAGGATAGTGCGGTAGCATTTTTGAGGTAGGAATTATATGTGAGTGTGTTTTTTCTCTTTATATTAAGATCAGGCCTTTGTGACGCTGACCACAAACGATGCCTACGCCAAAGGGGCCCTGGTCCTGGGCTCGTCCCTCAAACAGCACAGAACCACCCGGAAGCTGGTCGTGCTTGCCACCCCACAGGTCTCAGACTCCATGAGGTAAGGATCCCTCTGTCCTGTTGGTTGGTGGGGCTCTAATGCCTGGCTCCTGTTAATGGCACCAGTTCATATGAGGCCTTACTCTCTTCAAGGCTTGAGGACTGGGTAGAGAAAGAGGATAATTGTTCAGCAAAGGTTTCCTGGATCTGAAGCCTCTTCCTACCTTTTGGAAGATATTCCAACCAAGATTCCTTGGGGGGGGGCGCGGGGGGGATTATGTTCTGTTTTGGGCTCTAACTGATCCCAGCTAGAGAATGATTTCTTCCTTAGGCAAGATCTCTCTGGGTAATCTGTGAGTGAGTCCAGACATCCCTGTGAGAGGTCACATTTCATTTACACTCCCTTCCTAAAATGGGCAGGGACAACTTGGCTTCCTGTTTCAAACAGGAGAAACCTCAGTGACTTTGACAAATTAGCAGTTTTCTCCAGTTGACAATTTTTATTTACCATTTAAGAGACTAGAATATTTGCCAAAGGGCTTTCTGAACTAGGATTGTATTGGGAAACAACCTTGAAGGGCACAAGCTTTTGTTGATTTGTTAGTTAATTTTGATTTGTTGGAGTTACATTTTGAGGGATCTGAATGAACCTACCTAGCTCCTCGTACTAAGTTGAAAAATGTTGGAGCACATTAGCAGCTCTGTGTTGTGTTTATTTTGCATTCTCCTGTCCATCTAAAGAATTGAAAACCCCTTTTTGTGACTTTTTCCCCCCCAAAATGTAAACACAGACCAAGGACCTCTGAAAAGGAGGTGTTATATAAACATACATATATTACACTAAAAACCTTGTTCCTAAAAGGTAATTTAGGGAACTGTCAAAAGACTGTGTCTCAGAATTTGTAGTCAACTTGTGAGGTGCTGTGTAAGAAGACAGATATGGTATTAGGTTCCTCCCCTTCATTTATTGTGGTTTAGGGTGTCATTGACCATTTCCTTTTAAAAAAAATCAAGTTTGCTGTGTGAACTAGAACTAGAACATTATTTTTGTATGGTTTGGGGGATAGATACTAGAATACCAGTTTTGCTCTGCATGTTCAATGATGATCTGTCTTTATCAACTTTTTTCCCCTTGGGCTGAGTGTAGCCACTTAACCAACATCAGGATGACTTTCCAAAATTAAATCCTTCGTTAGTTTTGGGTATGAAGGAGTATTGCACCTCAAACCAAAGTTTGAGTGAGTCATTATATCAGGAGTGCTAAGCACATAATAAATGCTGGTTTTTGTAGATTGTAAAAAAGGGCAACCTGGTAACTGTAAACTTTTCCTTCTTTGGGGACACAGTTTGGTCAGTTCTCTGTCAACTGCTTTGTAAAAATGATTTATTATAGGCTTTGCAGATATTATATAGACATCATTTGTAAAAAAATATGCAGTAGTTATAGTCAACTCTAATAAAATATCACTGTTAACATACATAGACTTTTGCAAAGTTGTATTCTTACCAAATGTGAATCACACTAATTTTCCACAATTTATCTGATGTTCAGTGGTACAATAAAAAATAGAACATTTCTTTTGTAATAATACTCTAATCCAAGTGCTTTATCCTCATCATAAGCAGTTCTTATTATTTTAATGATGTTAACTCCACACACAATGTGGCACAATATTCCTAAAGTAAATTAGGATGTAAGAATACCAATGTAGCCAATTGCTTCAGTAGTTGATGGATAGGCTCATAAGGACACATTAGCTGGGTCACTTGTTCTGAAAAGATACTAAGCTCTATTTTCTGGATTTTATTTTGACAGAAAAGTTTTAGAAACTGTCTTTGATGAAGTCATCATGGTAGATGTCTTGGACAGTGGTGATTCTGCTCATCTAACCTTAATGAAGAGACCTGAATTGGGTGTCACATTAACTAAACTCCATTGCTGGTCACTTACACAGTACTCAAAATGTGTGTTCATGGATGCTGATACTCTGGTGAGTGTGGCTTTGATGACAGAAAAGATGTGTATAGTAACCAAGACCAGTTAGACATTTGAAGAACACTAATACTGACAGTGTTCAGATAAAAGTTCAGATAGGGCCTCCTCTGGTGGCGCAGCGGTTGAGGCTGGGCTGCGAAGCTGCCCACAGCCTCTACAGTGCCGGTTTGATCCCCGGCCGCCTGCGAGGGTCCCACATGGCGTGACAGACCTCTCCTGTTGTGCCCGCTGCTCCCCTCAGCAGTGTATTTCATCAGTCTGCCTGTTCTGCTCCCCGCTCTGGCTCTGGTGAATTCTCTCACCCTCCTGCACTTCTGACTGTACCCAGTGCTTGTAAATAAATAAATAAATCTTTAAAAAAAAAAAAAGTTCAGATAAAGCTACTGTGGTACAAAGTGTCAGGTGATGATGAAAGCATGTCCAGGCTACCTTACAGTGTCATCTGAATAATATGACCAGCTGTAGATTGCATATTTTATGTTTGATAATTTAGGAAGAACTTAAGAAAGATTTGTTATAGCAGGACTTTCCTATAATGCTTTCCCTTCTTCTATCCCATCTCCTCCCTGTATTAGGTGCTAGCAAATATTGATGATCTTTTTGAAAGAGAAGAGTTGTCTGCTGCACCAGACCCAGGATGGCCTGATTGCTTCAATTCAGGAGTGTTTGTTTATCAACCTTCAGTTGAAACATACAGTCAGCTGTTGCACCTTGCTTCTGAGCAAGGTAGTTTTGATGGTATGTATCTGTTGTCTTTCTATCTGATAAGCTATTAGTGTAGTGATTTGTTGGGTCTGCTGGGCCCAGGGATATAGTTGCTATGGTTCCTAGTGCCTGAAAGATAGCAGTACATGAGCTATAGCAAGCATTTTTAAGTTGTATTCTTTCTGAAGATAGTATCATATGTTTTGTGTAAACATGTATCTTTCTTTCTGTAGGTACATATGATTAAACTAAACTAGGATGAATGATGAATGCCTTTAATTGGCCTTCCTGTGTCTCAATTAGAGTATGATAAATGAACCATAATTATTCAAGATTTGAAAGACCGTTAGACCATGCAGAAGGTTTTTAAAACTAATATTTTTAAACTTGAGCAAACTTAAGTACAAGAGCTAACAGAAGAACCAAGTGTTGTCTCCATGGAAATTTGAGAAATAAACCTGATAATTTGGCTCTCATTCCTCAGGAGGGAATGAGAAGATAGGAATTTATATGAATAGCTTTTGTCTTAAATTTGCATTCTCTTTGAGGGGTGTAACAGTAAGAGTGGAATCTGCAAAACTAAAGAGTAGAACATTGGTGAATTCAGCATCCATTTCCATAATGTGTATGTGTGTATGTAGTGCATGTGTATGTGGATACATACAGAAAGGCCCTAACTAGTGAGATTTAAGACCTCATTCTTTACAGAATTTTGGCCAAATGGATAAGTAGGTATGCTTCCATTAAGCCAGTCTCTGAAATGATAAATAATAAGCCACTTTTTTTAAAAAGATTTATTTATGTATACAAGAACTGGGGTATAGTCCAGAGGTGTGGAGGGTGAGAGGATTCACCAGAGACAGAGTGGGAAACAACAGCCAGATTGATTGAAATACACTGCTGAGGGGAGCAGTGGGCGAGTCAAGAGAGATCTGCTGCGCCATGTGGGTTGCTCCCTGGCTGGGGATCGAGCTCTTGCTGAAGTGGCTGCGGATAGCTTCATAGGTTGCATCTTAACCCCTTGCGCCACCAGGGAGGCCCAATAAGCCACTTTTTTTAAAACAATTAACCACACAAGACAAAATAGTAGCCAAGATGCAAAAGCAACTCTTTGAAAAATTAATGTTGGTAACTGTTTTGTATGAAAATGACCCAGTTGTGTCTAGAAAAAATGGGTGTGTTCTAAGAATCACTCCTCTCCATAGTGACTCACTGTCAGATTGTGGCAAAAGCCTAGGTTAGGAACAGGGCTGCAGGCCAGAGCCCTGAGCTCCACACCCTATCCACCCCTCAGCACAAGGGGCTTCTTTCCTGTCTTCCTCTCTCTAAGAGCAGAGAGACCTAAGATTTGCTGTGGGTAGATTTTTTTTTTCAAACCAGCAGAAACAGCCTTTTTCAGATAACATTAGGTGAAGATCTGGGTACTGAAGATTCATTTTCATTAACTAGTTACAAAGTTAAAAATCAGAATCTCAAATTTGAACTTTAAATGAAAAGGTTAAATTTAAAAGTATGTCAGAGTATTGGAGTAAAGAGATGGGAGTTTAAACATTTTAAGTTTTAAGTACATAAGCCTGAAATTGGGTTTTTGTTTTTGCTATTCACAGAAATTGCTTTTGCTCCTGGAGATTTTGGATATGCAACTATTTGAAATGTCATTCAAAAGAACAGAAGTTTAAAACTTAGTCCTGTTTCACTACTAGGCTAGTTGGTAGTTTATACCTGCAGTTCTCAACCTGGAGTGATCTGACCCTCCATTTGGCAGTATCTGGAGACATTTCTGGTTGTTACAACTAGTGAGGATGCTATGGCATCTAGTGAGCAGAGGCCAGGGATGGTCCTAAGCATTCTACCATGTGTAGGACACCCCCCTACCCCAAACAAGGAATCATCCAGCTTAAAATATCAGGCTCTGCTTAATTCCAAAACATGCATGCTCTAAAAGGTGTACAGGACTATCTGAACACAGAATAGTAGCATCTGACAAAAAGCCTTATTTTAAGCAACCTTAAAGAATATGTTGTGTGTTTACTGCGACCAGGGTCAAATATAACTTCACTTTACTGACTTATTTGTTAGTTCTTGTATTTCCCTTCTGTATAAGGACTGAGAATTATAGTATTTGAGTACAAAACACATTTTCTTTTATTGTTTATCCTTAGTTACCATTGTATGTTACCTTGTGGGATGAGAGTATTTTTAGCAGAAGTCCACTATTAGTCTTAACCTTCCCATCAAAATGTAACTTTCTTCACCTCCTCACATCACACCTTAAGGAAGTAGTGTACTCCTATCAGAAATTCATTGTAAATTCTTGACTTCAGTAAGAGAATCATATTTTAAAGTAGACTTGGCTGCCTGAAATCCTGTAATAGTATAAAGAAAATCCGGTCTCTAATCTAGAAGAGTATTAGATTTTGTTGTTGAGAAGTAAGAGCTTGGATACTAAATAGTAGAGGGTTAATGGTAAGTTATCCAAGTTACAGTTTTAGAATATAAAACTGATTAACTGCTGGGGAACAAACTGGATTTTCTACTTTGCTCTAGAATCTAGAGGGACTAAGGAGTTGATGAATTCATTGTTACGAAGCAAGAATGTATGAAAAGTGCTCAACTAGAAAACACTTTCTGCTTTTTCAGCCAGAATCTGAAACCACTGAGAGATTTTCTCCATGCCTGCTAGCACATTTCATTATTCAGCAGCAGGGTTTCCAGAAGCTGGCCTTTCTGTAAGGTATTCCATTTACTGGCTCGTTGGTGGCGATGAATTGAATTTTCTCTGTTAATAGAAATGCTTAAATGAAGGAATTCAAACTTCAACTATGCAGATAGGAACTTGTATTTAAACAATATATTGAGAATAACCATAACAGAGGAGTTAACCAACAGCTTTTAAATCAGAGTTGTTTTCACTTGAAGTGTTCATAAGCTTTACTCATCAAAGCTTTACTCATGTTTGCTCCCTACTTTTCTGGAGGAGTCTACTATTTCACTGAATCAGTACTTGTGTAGCATAAAGATTTATTGGGCTTACAGTTAATATTAACAAAATATTATTCATGAGCTACATCTTTTCTATTAGCAATGCCCTTTCTTTACCTCAAGTTTTCAATATAGCACCCAATTTTGTCTAGGGGTTATGTCATCAGCACTGTGATGAGCATTTGTAGATATTTTCCTTTCACTTTACCATACATTTATAGTGTCCACAGGTTTCCATTCACCTCACCCCACCTCTCGGTTTTACTGTATAAGGATGTTTAAGTTCCTGCTTTTTTTAGACTGGCCTTGAAATCAGTTTGCAAAGAGTATATCTCAGTCTGAATATCTTCAAGTTTTTTTTTTTTTAATCTCTGTGTACATTCAACAAAAACTGATGGGGCCTGGTGTCCTCTGACAAGCCACACAGACTGCTGATGGCTAATCACTTGCAGCTGCTTTTGCAACCCTTCTAATGTGAAAGAATGTGGCTGTCACGCTTCTAATCATCAGCCCTCCATCACTATCTGCCCTGTCCCCTCCCCATCTCTAGCCAAGAAACTAATCCTAATATGGCAAATCCTGCTAGGTATCTTGATATCTCTTTTCTTCCAGAATATCTAGTGTTATAATTTAGAACTAGTAACTGTATTCCTAATTCACCTCTGGTAGCTGTTTCTCATAGTGAAATGTCTAAGTTCCTATATTGTCTGTGTTTGCAAACTGTCTTGGCACTTACTTCATAACTGAAGTTACATGTTTCCTGAAAGTTGAACAATAGCTGTTGTGAAATAGACATATAGTAACATCGTGTAGAATGTAACTAGATAAGGTTAAGCACTCATTAGCAGTGAGAAGGCAAGAGAGAGGTCATGTCATAGATAGTAATTAGCAGTTTTGTCTTGACACAGTCATATAGGAAGTTGGTGTGCTTGCTTTTGAATTGAAGAAATTAATCTGAATGCAAGTTGAAGTTAATTTTATTTTCCCCTGTGATTCTACAGTATCTTAAATTAAGGGTGTTTATACAGATGAAGAAGAATTTAGTGTTTATGAATTGCTGTTGATTAAATTTTACCTGTATATGTTTGTTTTATAGATCTAAGTCAGAAAGAGAAATTCATATTTTCCAATTTGGAATGTCCTTCTTTTAAATCTTGGGATAATATATGTACCCTAGCCTTTTTATTGGAATAATATAATTTTGCTATTTTGTTGACTTTTTTTTAAGATTTATTTATTCATGCATACAAGAACTGGGGTACAGGCCAGATGCGCGGGAGGGTGAGCATATTCACCAGGGAAAGAGCGGGGAGCATAACAGGCAGATTGACTGAAATACACTGCTGAGGGAAGCTCAGGCGAGGCAGGATCCCACGAGGCCGTGCCATGTGGGATTCTCGCGGGCTGGCCAGGATCAAACCGGCACTGTAGAGGCTGCAGACAGGTTCACAGCACTGCACTCAACCACTTGCACCACCAGGGGAGGCCCTCTTTTGTTGACTTTTCAGAAAGAATATCAGAGAACAAATTGGTGATAGAATATTATGTAAGGTTTTACCTTACACAGAATCCAAGATATGCTGAGGTCCTTTTACCTGCATGTTCCATATTCTAAATGGTCGCTGAGACTCTAAATTTTAAGATCTGTATCCTGTGCTTATAGATGTAGTAAAGCAGGACATTATAATAAAGTTTTTAATTGGTTTTTAACAGGAAATTGTAGCACAATTTAACAGAATTGTGCTACATTTTATTATAGTTAAATTGACTCAGTGCCACCATCCTTAATCTTTGTAGTTAGGCTTCAAGCTTGAACTGCCAAAAAAATGGAATGAAAGAGAGTTGTTTCAAGATAGTGCTTGTCTTTTCCTTTGGTTTGGAAAAACCAAGAGAACTCAAAATTTGGGTGTGCCTCACTTGGTTCCCTGACGTGATACTGCCCAACACTGAGCTGTTTGTGGACCTCAGAGTGTTTTATCAACTTCTTTGAAAATAACTCCTTGCTGTCCAGAAAGCAGCCTGCTCAAGTGTCCCTGAGCTAGTGACAGAGC